GACCTGCAACACTATGCGGTCCCACCAGTCTGTGCTTGTTTCCCTTGCCCAGAATCGGCGTTCCATGGATAGAACCTGCCCCGTTAACAACATGATCTCCAAAGCACCGGGGCCTGTGGTTTGACAGAATTCTGTGTCCGTGTCCGTGTCCATGTCCATGTCCTCATCACGCTTGTCGCTGCGCTGCCGCCGCCGCTGCCTCCTCGCCTCGTTTTTCTGGTCCTGGCTCAGCATAAACTCCACGAGAACGCGCGAGGTGTTTACAATGTTCATGACTGCTGTCTTGAGCTGAGCGGGCTCCATGCTTGCCGTGGTATGGAGTCTGCAGTGTTCACCCAGGAAAAAAGGCGTGAAATGGTTGTCTGCTGTCTGTTGCTTTCATGCAGGGAGGGAGGGAGGGGTGAGGCTGTAACCAGAACCACCTACGACAATGTTTTTTGTCCCATCAAGCACTGGGATCTCAACCCAGAATTCCAATGGGCGGGAGAGACTGCGGGAACTATGGGATAGCTATGGGATAACTACCCACAGTGCAACGCTCCAGAAATCAACGCTAGCCCCGGAACATGGACGCACACCGCGGAATTAATGTGCTTAGTGTGGCCGCATACATTCGACTTTATACAATCTGTTTCCCAAATTAGAATTATATAAATTCAGATTAATCCCGTAGTGTAGACATACCCATAGACAAGCTGGGATCTGCATGATGCTTGGCCAGGTTGATGGGCCCAGGGTTTCCTCGTTTTGCAGGGACCTCTGCTTGCTTTGGCTGCCCTAGATTTTGCCTGCAGATTAGAGACAACATGTGATGGACACAGGAAGACACGAGACATGATAGACTTCCTGTAGTTGGAGCAACCAGCTGAGTTCCTCATTTGGGACCCGGAGTTGGACTCCAGGGTGTTGGTGGCAGCGCTGAGGGGCCCCTCGCTGCCCCCATCATGGCATCTGCTCTCACTGTCCTCTTCCTCGGTGAGTATCGGATAAAGCCAGGGTGTGTGGCCATGGGGGGCAGATCTGAGACCAGGGCATGTGCCCAAGGGGAGTGGGGGAGATCTGAGACCAGGGCATGTGCCCTTGGGTGTGGGATCTGAGACCAGGGTGTAGGATCCAGTTGCTTTGGGATCTGGTCACTAACGAGCCGTCTCCTCTCCAGGCTGCTGGCTGGCCGGGCACAGCGGGGTGTGGGGAGGTGAGTATCAGTCTGTGGGGAGGATGGTAACATCAGGGATGGGGGAGGGGATGCATGGGGTGGGGAAAAGAGGAACTGAGCCCTGAACCTTCCCCAAAACTCAACCCAAACTCCCCCTGTGAGCTCAGACCCAGCCCCGTTCTTCTCTGCCCCCCACCCCCTGCCATGGAGTAACTAGGAGCTGAATCTGGCTCCCAGGGTCCGGCGAAGCAGACGGGAACCATCCCCTGGTTCAATGTCCTGCCCCCAACAGTCTGAGAATCAGGGCGGGGGGGGCGGGCACGGGACGTGGATTTATTTCAGCTCATGCAAACGCTAACAGGGCCTGTCTGTGGGCTCTAGATCCCCTCGGGGAACCGAAACGTTCACGGTCAGTGCAGCCATGGGGGAGAACCCCCCAGATCCACCCCAACAGCCCCCTCCCCTGCACTCACAGCCCCCACATTCCCAAGGCCTGGGTAAAGGTGGGTCTCGCGTGACTCCCGCCAGTCACAGACTCTATTTCTGACCCTGGGCAGGGGGAGGGGTCAGAGCTGCAGGGGGCCCACAGCTCAGGCTCCCTGTCTGGTCTGAGCTGGGTCTGTGGAGGGCCAGGGGATCCCTCATGCAGTCGGGTCCTAAGCTACATATGCGTGAATCCCTGGCAGGGGACAGACTCCTAGAGAGGCTGAAAGAGGAATAGACTTAATTGGGGTGGGGGGAGGCAGGGGGCTGTGTCTCCCCTGTTTAATCCCTGTCTTTTTTTGAAAGCAAGGAGAGAATACCCCAAACCCCCTGTCACGGACTCACAGGTTATGCCCACTTTGGCTGGTGCAGTCCCTGAGGGGAACCCCCTTCAGTGAGACAGCCCTTCTCGGGGGTCCACTTTCTCTTGGGGGTTAAGCCCCTCCACCTCCTGGAACCGCACCTCTGAGACTTAGCACGTCTGTCTCTCGCTGTGGGCCCCCTCAGGGAGTCCCCTCGCTCTGGGCCCCCTGGGCCTCTACCCCCAGAGGAAATAATGCTGTCCTGATCTCTAGCCCGGAGCGACTCTCAGCCAGTGTAAAACAGGAGGGTTTATTGAGCATCTGAACCCAGCACAGGAAACTCTCAGGGCCCTCAGGCCTGGCCTCCCTCAGCCCAGCACATCCAAGTCTCCCCTGCATCCAGGTGGGCTCTGCCTGCTCCCCCTCTCCAGTCCCAAGACCCCGCTGCTTCCCAGCTGGGCATCTGAGATCACCGGCCCCAAAGCCCCACCTCTGTCCATTGTCTTCTCTTCAGGTAAACAGGGTCCTCTGGCCCTCTCTGGCTGGAACCAGCTGGTCAGGTCACTGGGGCCTCTCTCTACATCCCATTGTCCTCCCACTGGCCAGAACCCACTGTGACTGCTAAGCTGGGCTTCCAGGTCACCAGGTCACCGGTCGCTGGGGTATCCATTCTCCAGGCCATTGGCTGGGGTCCCAAGTTCCATCGCCCGCCGGTCCTCTGTACCAACAAACTCCCTCTCCCATCACCTCGTTAAACCAGCAACACCCAGGGAAACTGAGTCCCACCCTCTCTGCATGCAAACTATTGGAAAAACCAAGGAAAAACCAAGGAAACCCCTCCACTTCATCACACCCCCTATCTCGGTGAGCCCCAGCAGGGTGGTGGCGCTCAGGGGAAGCGTCACCATCCACTGTGCGGGTTGGTACCGATCCATGAAGTTCTTTCTGCATAAAGCTGGACACCTGAACCTGCAGGTGCGGATGGTGCCTGATGGGTCAGTGGCTGAATTTCCCATCCCCAGTGTCGGCCGGGAAGATGGAGGGAGCTACACCTGCGACTATCACTCCAAAACAGAACAGAATTGCACATCGCATCCCAGCGACCCCATCGAGATCATTGGAGCAGGTGAGGGACGAGCCTGGCTCCTCTTAATGTGTTTACAGGAGTGATACAAGCTTATATCTTATTCTCCTAACTCCAGATATAGAAATAATACATGCAAACAAATAAGATGAACACACTTAACAGATTACAAACTTTCTAATGACACAGAACAAGGGGTATTTAGCGTAAAGCATATTCCAGTTACATTATATTACACTCATAAGCATATGAAGTGCAACATCACAGAATAATCTCTCAGCCACTCAGGTACCATCAATAGGGAGGCTCCAGTCAATGCCCTCCAGCTTCCCAGCCTTGCACCCCACACCGGTACTGTCCTGCACTGGTCAGAAGCCAGTTCATTAAGTTTGCCCCTCCCTCAGTGTGGACTGGACATGCACTAGCCTTTGTAAACTGAGCTGAGATTTCCTAAGCACTTCAACCAAAACACACTGTTTTAGCTCAAATATAAAACAGATTTATTAACTCCAGAAGGAGAGATTTGAAGTGGTTAGAAGGAGCAGGCGCAGAGATCAGAGTTGGCTACTTAAGAAATAAAAATAAATTTGCAGTCTAAGTTCTACAAACGAAACACGATTTGAATCAGACAGTTTCTCCCCCGATGTTACAAGCAGGTTAAAGATCTTCAATACACAGACTGGACTCCATCCCAGCCTGGGACCAGCCTTCCCCGGTTCAAAGTCTTTGTCCTCCAGATGTTCCTCCAGATGTTGAGTTGTGGGGAAGAGAAGCCCAGGGATTATGTCCCTTCCCCTCTTTTATATTTTCTGTCAGTTTGCTGGAAAGATCTTTGCTGTGACCCGGGGATCAGGCAGTCCCCATTGGTCCAGCAATCTCCATTGTACACAGTCTCAGAGATAATGGATTCTTTCCTTGAGGGGTGTTGATGAGCGATTAACATTGTCTGCCTGATCCTTTGTTGCAGTTGAAAGATTGGCTGTGGGCATCTGCCAGCCTCACAAAATATTTCAGTAGCACACACAGCAATGCTTCAGAACTTCCCATACAAGGATCACACATACCATGCAACAGGACATGAATGTTCAAGATATCAAGACTTTTAAAATGATGCCTCACAAGGCAACTTTGTACCCAACCGATCATAGTTCTATCGTAGTGGTGAATACGGGGGATCCAGGGTGCTATTTTGAGATACAGATTGTCACACTGTGGTATCACCCTGGCGTGACCAGGGCCTGGGAAAGAGATGTGGAACATGTAAGAAACAGACTGTGAACTTCCTTTCCCTTGCAGAGATGGCTGTTTGCAGTGTCCCTGTGCCCACAGGGCGGGGTGACTTGTTTCCTGTAACCTTCCCCATTTTTACTTATTTTTTATGAGTTGCTGTTTAATAAATTGTACGTGCTCTGAACTCTATGTAATGATCAGCGGATCAGGGAAGCATCCGGTGCAAAGAGAGTGCCTGGAGTGGGGACAACCTCACCCCTGTCCTAAGTGATCACGACAAGACAGGGGGTCGAGCCCCCAAGGATCTGGGGCCCAAGCTAGCTGGGGTTATGAGGACTCTGCCGCACGGGAGGGAGGGAGGAAGGGGAGCCCTCAAGGGCAGGGAGGCCTCTGGGTAAAGGGAGTGGGAGCGAGGACTCAGATCCTTTCGCTAGCCAATCCCACCGGGGCGGGTATAAGCCAGGAAAGTTCCCCACGATAGCAGGACCATTCCCCTGCTTACACTAGGAGCAGGGTCAGCGGCCGCCCTGCCCGTCCGGAGAGTGAAATGAACCGGTTCCTCCCTGTAAGTGTGTGTGGGCCTATCCCTGCGGCACCTCCTGCTGGTCTCTTCTGGGAATTAGCTCATCGACCCAGGAGCGCCCTCTGCAGGCTGGTGAGCCACCTTACCGCTGGCCCCCCGTGTTCTTCCCAGACCCCTGGGACAGAATTTCTCTTCCTCTGATTTTCTTTTGAACCGGGTTGATTTAATTCACACGCTGAGAAAAGCCCCTTAGAACCAGGCGTTACAGTGTAAACCCAGCATCACCGCTCAGCTATGGTGCCAGGGGCAGCAAACCCAGGGGTCCCCCATCGCGCTGCTCCTCACACGGTGCCACGGAGAATGGGGGGCCACAAGGCCCTGCACCCCCGGCTTCCTGCGATTCACCATGACTCTCAGCCAGCCAGTAAAGCAGAAGGTTTATTTAGACGACAGGAACACAGTCCAAGACAGGTCTTGCAGGCACAGACAACAGGACCCCCTCAGTTAGGTCCATCTTGGGGTCCCCGGGCATCCCAGCCCCCTTGGGAGGTCAGAGCCCTGTCTGCCTCCCAGCCATATCACCAGCCAGCTCTGAAACTCTCCATCTAGCCTTTGTTTAGTTTCCCGGGCAGAGGTGTCACCTGGCCTCTAACCCCTTCCTAGGTTCTCATGTTACATGCTCAGGTATTCTCCATCGGGCAGACTCCCATCCCCCAATGCAGACTATCCTAGCCACATTCCCCTGTCAGCATTCACAGACCACAGTAGGAACAGTCCCAGTTCATCACACACGGCTTGTGTCACAGGTGGGCAGGTTTGCAGGCTGAGAGGGAAGGCTGCAGAGTCAAAGCCTCCAGCACCAAGAAATGCAATAGTTTCCTGAACGACCTTAACTCTGCCCCCTCATGCAGCTCCATTACGACGCCAGCCTTTAATTGCATGATCATGTATTAATTTTACCTACATGGGTCATCAGCCGCTTGAACCCAGAATGAAAAGGGGATGGAATTGTCATGGAAATCGTGGTCAGCAGAAGATTGAAGATGAGACCCCGTGGTCACCTGGCTCTCAGCCTGATGCACCTTTCACAAGGCTGCAGGGTACATTGAGGGTGACTTGTCCCCACACCCCACAGAGACACAGACAAGCTGGGAGCTGCATGATGCTTAGCCAGGCTAACAGTCCCTGGGTTTCTTTCATTTTCAAAGACCTCTCTTACTTTGACCGCACTAGATTTCACCAGCAGATAACAGACAATGTTTGATGGACACAGGAAAAGATGAGACATCTTTTGACTTTTGACTTCCTGTAGCTGCAGCCAGCAGCGGAGTTCCTTATTTGGGGCTCGGTGGAGCTGGAGACCGGGGTGTTGGTGGCAGCAGTGAGGGGCCCCTCGCTGACCCCGTCATGGCGTCTGCTCTCACCATCCTCTTCCTCGGTGAGTATCGGACACAGCCAGGGTGTGTGTCCATGAGGTGGAGGGATCTGAGACCAGGACATGTGCCCATGGAGTGGGGGGGATCTGAGACCATGGTGTAGGATCCAGTTGCTCTGGGATCTGGTCCTTAACGGCCTATCTCCTTTCCAGGCTGGTGGCTGGCCGGGCGGAGCGGGGTGTCCGGACGTGAGTATCTGTGGGGAATAGGGCAGCTGGGGGAATTTCCACATTAAGGACGAGGGACGTGGGTGGGGGATGAGGGGTGCAGATCGCCCAAAAGGATGATCCTGTCAGACCTCTGCTCCCTCCCACACCCAGAAGTGGGGACTGAGACCTCGCCCCACTCATTACAGGGATGGGCACCACACAGGGTGAATTCGCCTGCTCTCAAAGCTCTGCCCCCCAGACTCAGGGCACCAGCCACCCCACACCGCCCTCGAACTGTGCCCAGGGAGCTGGCAAGAGGCCAGGGAACGGGTCAGGCAGAGCAGGGCTGTAAGACGTGGACACACAGAGGGACTGGAGCAAGGCACCGTTGTGTCTCACCCTCGGCTTGCTGCACACGCGCGTGTCACTGCTTTGCTCGTGGGTCAGGCTCAGCCCGGCCCGGCGTTCGGAACGTCCCCTGAACAGCTTTGAAATATCCCATCCCCAGAGGGGCCGCCGGCACCATGCAGAGCGGAGCTAAATCCCCAGCGACTGGGAGTGGTTCGGGGAAGAGCAGAGCCAGAGATTGAGCCCCGGGGGGTGGGCAGAAAACTGTCAGAACAACCGGGGGATTTTGCAAATGTGGTTTTCGGAGGCCTTCGCTCAAAGGACTCAGATTTCTCCCACGAACCCCCCCCCCCTCCCCGCACTCCTGTGCATACAGCACATTGCCGGACAATCGGAGTAAATGTGGTTTTTAGAATATTTTAAAGACTAATCCACGTTCAGCCCAACTCCAGCAGAGCATTTAGGCAAACTAGGCAGCTAGTTCCATATCCACGTGGTGCTCGGGCACCAGCTATATTCAGAGCCAGAGGCCCAGCTCCAGCAATACTTGGGGCCGTGTGTCCACCCCGGCCCCACCTGCGGCCCCCCGCTTGCCTTTCACAG